AAGCCAACTCGACTCTAGGGTAGTTCATTGATCGCTGCCCAGCATTCGACATCAGACGCCAATTCCCTACAAGCAAAGACTACCCTGTCGATCACTGCAAGTCGATCACAGCATTAGAGTTGTGCCAAATTTGGCGAGACATCTGCCAACAATAGAGCTAGGCCTTGTCTCCAGAGCCGATCTCCCACTCCTTTGACGTGAAGGGAGAGGTTTAGCGTCTTCGACGTCTCATAGTTTTGGTTAAGTGGCTGTGCGAAGCGAAGGAATACAACGAAAACGAAGAACGGGAAAAAAAGAGAAAGAACAAAAAAAATACAAAGAACAAAAAACCGTCCAGCCTTGAGAAAAGCGAACTTACTCTCAACTGTATTCCGCGGAGAAAATACCTACGAGCCGTTTGCACAGCTTGACATCAAAGCACCACCCTGGAACCGCAGGCCAGCGGCCAAGACGCTGTTATGTTTCTGTGCATCTGTAACTCGCCTTGAGAGTTATGCCATATGATTAAATAAGAGCTTAGATCCCATATCACTGTCATTTGGCTCTAAACTTTTGTGCGACGTCGAGACCTGTCACCCTAATCGGTTCGTAGCAGAGCAGAGCGTGCCTTGCAGCGATGCGCCAACCCACTTTCCGCTCCCTCATGCTACAAGAGGTAAGTCATAGTCTAGGCGTGTGTCTATATATGGGAATTTTTGGACGGGTTGTTGAAATGGAAAGCGATTGTCTCGAGAAATCAGCTTCACGTGGGAGACTCGCTTGCTAGTGTTCTTCAGAATGCCGAGTTTGTTGTTGTGAACTCGACTACCACTGGCCGGCATCAATGAAAGCCCCCGAATTCCAGCAATTTACTTTGTCGTTGTCATCTAGGGAGGATGGCGTGGAAGATTACGAGAAGAAAGCGAAGGATTGGAAAACAAAAAGCAATGTCCTTGGCTAATTTGCTTATTTGGCTACTAGCGCACCACAAATACGAGTGCGCGGTCTTGTTGGTGCCACTCTGATGAAGAGAGCGAGAAGATGATGAATGAAAGAGACCCCAATGTGCGAAAAATTGGAAAGGAGAAAATGGAACATGGATACTTGTCAGCAAGGCTATGGTGCGCGTCGCTTTGCAGCTCGACGCCGAGGGGACATGCAAGCCACATATCGACCAGGGCCAAGTTAAGAGAGGATATTTTAAAGTATTACATTGATAGTCTCAATCCTGTAATTACAATGTCTGACCATTGTCGGATAAGATTTTGAGACGTGACTGAGCGTGCGAAGCCGTCACGGCCGTGTAGCCGTCGATTGATGAAAGACTGCGGAAGGGTGACTGTCGACCAATCAATTTAGTAGCGTAGCGAACACAGGACCGACAGTATGGTTTCCAGCCGAGACTGCAGATAGACGAGTCATACCTCGGAGTCTCGGAAGAGGCAACACATTGTTTTCGAATTGTCTTGACCTTGAGTGGATAAGAAGTGCCGGGCCGGCAAGGCGGGTTGTGGGAGACCAACTGCAGAATGACATAGCAAAGACTTATACGGATATGAATGTTGATTAATATTCCTGTTGATTCTGACAAGATGCTTGTTCAAGTCTCCCTTTTATTGCATCTTGTGAAATTTGGTGGTAGACCAAGCTTTCCATCAGCCGCGCGCAGCGGGTCGAAATAGATCGTTGTTGCTTTCATGGCTGGCCCTCCGCCAGGCATGCATCGTGAACCTCTGTACGGATAGTAGCCGGCGCGAAGAACGCATAGCTTGAATGTAATACCGATGATGCATATATGTCGATCGTCAGAGCCAAATGCCACCCGCATTCGCACCTGCATGGGCGGGGAGCAGGCAGGCCTGAGGATGTTGTGCAACTGCTATCTAGACACCAAAGCGGCAGATGCGCACAGCTCAGGCGGGCAAGGGCCCGAGAGGCGGTTGGTGGTTGATGAGAAGGAAGCTGCGAGGATGGTAGCGATAAACACGCTTGATTCCGACAGAATGAACTGACAAGAGAGACAGTCTCTGTTCGAGTGGACCATGAGCCATTGTATGCAAAGGAAAAAAAAACAGGCTTGACGGTCTGGGGCCCAAAGGTAGCACAAGCCAGAAAAGGACCAGAGGCTGAGAGCTGATAGCGCTAATGCAGGTCAAGCAGCTGGCTCGCTCATTACAGGTAGTGGCTGCAGGTGCTTTTTGAGCGTGCAGTGCACTAAAGTCAGGCACAAACACTGCCCAGGTGATCCTAGAAAGAACCAAGTCCGAGTCCGTACAGATTATTGAGAACTGAATGGCATCTTTTTTCTCTCAAGCTCTGAGAGGGCCTGTAAGCGAAAGTCCCTTATTCACTTGCGTAGTGAGATGAAAGCTGGCAAATCGTCAACTGACTGCTTCGGGCAGTGATGTTCGTCCCAGAATAACCCCCGGAGACCCGGGTACGGGCCGCCGCTAAATCAAGATCCATCGCCCCGCTCATCACAACTCCTAGGTAGGTAATTAGGTAGCGTCTGCCATTTCTCTTCCTACAAGCCCCCAACTCCCTTCAATCGTGCTTGCCTGCCCCTGCCAAGCCCCTTCTCCTGGGCCCGGGATCGGCCTCGATATTGGAAGCATCCTGGTCGACAATATGCAGCTATTCATTCGTCCTGTCACAACCGGGAAAAAAAAAGAAAACAAGGTGGACGCGCGGATTGACCATGGCCCGCTTGCTTGCATCGTCGTGACCCGTTTGCCATCACCCACCTCGGATCCTGACGTCCGTTGTTGCCCAGTGTGCCGTATTTGGCTCACTCGCGATTGTAAGTTTCTGCTGAGTATTGTCTGATCACCAATGCAGCTACTGATATCGGCCAGGTCATCTGCTCGCTGGTGATACCACTACATGCGGAAATGACCCTGGACCTCGGCCAGATATCGTGGCCACAACTGGAAGCCAGCCAGGGGCACTTCCAAGTGCAACTGAGACATTGATATGTTACTCTTTGCTGCATCAAAAAACTATGCAAGCAATGTCCGGAGAGCTCACATGCAAAATTACCACGGGCTCGAGCATCGAGCGCCGTCCCGCAACCGACTTGAAGCTAGTTATCGGACTAGTGCAGCCTATTGTCTCTGCTCTTTCTTGTTTGCAAGAATCCAACCGGCCTCAAAGCCCAACTCGCAAAGTCCTTCCACGACTGGAATCCCTCTTCAGGTCTCGGACGGTCTATGACCAGGGTCTTTTGGACTTGGCCGCTAACATCGGTTGGCAACTACTTACTCACTGCGGAGACTCGATACGAGACCGCCGCTCACACATATCGCCTTGGCCATTACATCCGTCGCCCTCTATCCGAGAGCGGGTCTCTATATGCAAGGTTGACGTGCCTCGAATGTCGCCTCAGCTTCGGACCTAGTCTGGACTCGTTCATATTGCCTCTACGAGCAGCGTCACGGCAAAGGGCAGTTGCCGAAACTTAACAAACATGGGTGTTCGTACAGCTGTCTACCCCTGGACGACGGTTACAAAGATGAGGCAACCTGCTCATCAAAGATAAATACCCACACCCTTCCGACACGCTTACAATAACTCACAGCTTTGATAACTCGTCTCATCCAGCCCAGTCCTGCTCAGTCCTTTTGCTTCAGGCCTCTACCGCCTCAGTCACTCTTTACACTTGCGTCTAACTACTCTAAAACGACTGGGATAACTAAGATGAAGTTCCTCACTGTCGCTGCTGCCATCTTTGCCAGCACCTCGCTTGCTGTGCCCACCAACAACCACAACGGTGGCGGTGCTTGCGTCCCTCGCCCGAACCCTGGCAACAGCAATACCAGCTCTGCCCCCGGCGGTAACCCGACTGGCGGTCACACCAGCTCTGGTCCCGGAACCAAGCCCACCGGCAGCCACACCAGCTCCGGTCCCGCAACCAAGCCCACCGACGGCAATACCAGTTCTGGTCCCGGGACCAAGCCCACTGACGGCAATACCAGCTCCGGT